GTAGAATTCTGCTTGATGTTGGCAACGCCGCGCACCAGCTTCTTGCGGTCCCGCAAGGATTTCTCCTCCTTGAAGACAGTGATCGGCCGCTCCACGAAGCCTGACTTGGCGTCGTCCTCATCGTCGTCAGCATCAATGGCGACATCCTTTTCGCCGCCATCGGGGCTGTCGTCTTTCTTTCCCTTCACTTCCTTGGTCGCCCCCTGCTTCCACGGCGCCATCATGCCTTTCGCAATGCCCGGCTTGCCACAGTCCGACAGCACGACAAGTTCGCCTGGGTTGAGAGTGGCGACGTCCACGCCGCCCTTCTTCCTGGCCTCCAGAATGGCCGCCACTATTTTCTTGCAGTGCTTCTCCTGGAATGGCGGCCCGCGAAGATGCGGGGCAGTGACGCTCTCCCCGAACACGTCCGGGCTGAAATGAAACAAGAAGAGGCCGGACATGCACGCTGACCCCGCGCGACGCGGGGTTCACAAGGTTTCTGCGTTATCATCGTCTTCATCGCTCTCCTTCCCCTTCCCCCCCCCCCTCCTCCTCTTCATCCTTCTCCTCTGCCCCTCGGGCCCACTGGGGTTACCGGCGTGCCCCCCGGGCCACAGCGCGGCCTGTCGCATGATTACCAACCATCCTGTGGTGTTGTGTCGTCGTTTTGAAGAGCCAACGCCCCGCGTTCTCCTCGCTCCTCCTCTTCCCCGTCCTCCCTCTTCTCATCGTCATCATCATCGTCATCATCGTCACCATCATCGCAGCCACCATCACCAGATCGTCATTATTACCATCGTCGCTACCATTCAAGCATGCCCCTCAGACGTGTCGTGGCCCTATAATAGGGAGCCCCACCGAAGGCCTCAGTAGGGGCGCCCGCGTGCTTCCGAAGGCCCCAGAGGCGCCCGCATGCTTCCGAGGCCCCATATTGAGCTTCACCGAAGGCCCCAGCGGCGCAGTTCGCATGCGTCAGCGCCACACATGTCGCCGCACCCCTCACGTTTCGCGACACCCCTCCCCCTCTCCTTCGCCCCACCTGCCTGCGGCATTCGCACTTGCATATGGTTGGGTCTTTCGCCAGGCGAGTTTTGTTCGGGCACAAGAGGGCCCCGCGACGAGCTAAGAAGGCCTCATGATCATGAGGCCCCCAAGACGGCCCAAGAGGGGCCGACGCGTCAAACCATCGCTCCGAGATGCCCAAGACGGCCCCGCGGCAGCCCAAGAGGCTTCGAATACGTTCCAAGATGCCTCCAAGAAGCCTCGGGCCCCGAGAGGCCAACATTACGTGTTTGAATAGGTTTGGCTTTCAGGCCTTGTCGGGCTTTCCGAAGCCATTTTGGCTGGATCGAGCAGCGTGGATTGCGCCGCGCCCTTCCTCTTCTTAGAAGGTGCTGCTCGCATATGGCGAGGCGACGGGCTCTCCGGGAGCTCGAGGAGGCGTTGGACGGCTTCGAACAGTGGATGGTGAATGGCAACAAGTTCGCTCTGAAGACTACGAAGCGCTACAAGCTATTCGTCAGGGCCATCATGAAGACGAGGTTTCGCAACTCGAATCATTCACCGAAGCAGTTGCAAAGGCGCAGCGCAACGACTTCATTGACAACGTGAAGGAGATGTACCAGCACAGCAAGGGCCAGCACACTGGCGCACTAAGAGCCTTCAGCCAGTACATGAAGAGCGACGACGACGCGGCGGCGCCACCACCAGCCAAGAAGATCAAGAAGAAGAAGAGGAGGTCGTCGTCGTCATCTTCTTCGTCGTCGCCATCAACATTGGCATCAAGTGCGAGCTCCGAGTTGTCGTCTGCTTCCGACGGCGTGGGCTGCAGCGCGCGGGCGCCGCCTCCGCCGCCGCCGGGCACGAGGGGGATCGGGCGACGAAATCTATGCATATCCACTGCTCCCCGGCCAGGCCCAGCCTGAACCTGAGAGCTGTGCATACGCCCTCCTGGCCGAGCCAGGGGGGCGCGACGTGTGCACCGCTGCTGGGTTCAGACTGGGCCTGGCCAGGGAGCAGTGGATATGTATAGATTCCGTCGCCCTACAGGAGGACCGAGCCCGCGGCGCCGCCGCCCCCGCCGCCGCCGCCGCCCGCCCCGCCACCGCCAGCGGCGACGCCGGCCATGCCGCCGGCGCCGCCGGCACCGGCCCAACAACTGCCGACAGCGCCGAAGCCCCCCCCGCCGGGGCCCCCCCCGCCGCCGGCGGCCGAGCAACAACTGCCGCCAGCAGCGCCGACGGCAGCAACAAGGAGGCGGGGGGCCCCGCTTCACGGACCCAGCCTCCTGTTGCGCGGCCCTAAGCCGACCGGCATTCTGCGCAGCGGTGAGAAGAAGAAGAACAACTCGTCGTCGTCGTCGGCGACGCACATGGTGGAGGAGGACATTGGCCTGCTCATCAGGAGTAAGGACTCCATCGTCAAGTTGGAGTCCTACAGAGACGACCTGAGGAAGGATCAACTGTGGTGGACGCCGCCAGCTGAGCACAATGTCCAGTGCAACATGTGTGTCAAACGGGTGCCCAAAGACGAGGGGGAGCTCTGCCCGATCGCTGGTAGGACGATGTTCGCTTCGTACGTCTTCTATTGCCCCTCGTGCCTGGCCAAGATCAAAGGATGCGCCAGCAGCAACGCCGCGGTGACCTTCGGCGTGCCACGCGCGGAATGAGGGGGCTGGCGCGTCGGTCGCACAGCTCTGGAGGCTCGGCCAGTAGTAGGGCGGCCGCCTGGGTGTCTCCCGCGACGCGCGAGCACCTTCGCCAGGAGCACCCGCGAGAACTCCGGGATGCCTCGCCGCAACTGCGACATCCTTTCGTCGCCGCAGAACGTCCATCACAATCGACATCGTCATCCCTCATCCTCGACGCATTGGCTGGATCATTCGGGGTTCGCGTGGAGCTGGGGGGGTTCCTGGGCGCGGGGCCTCATGGGCCTCCTATCGCGCCCCCCCCCCGCCCCCGGTCGCGTCTTGAAACCCTACGGGGCCTCGATCGGGGCTCCGCTGGAACCGTCTCGTTGGTCTTTTTCGGTAATATAGCTTGGCACCGTGCGCGCCTCGAAGTTCGTTGCTGGGCACTACTAAGATATTACTATTGAAGTGGGCTCGAGTCGGCCACTGTCCAACGCTCAAGACATCCCCGCAATCTGATTGCGAGCGAGCAGGTGCAATGCCCTCCGGCGCCACCCCAGAGTCAGCTTCTCGGACCTCTCCAAGATCTCCGACGTGGCCCCGGGGGAAAGCTTGGAGGGCCCCGGAAGCGCCCCCCCCTCCCCCTCTCCAGACGGGGCTGGCAAGGGCGTAGGGAGTGAACAAGCTTACACGAAAAGGCAACTCAATTCCCCAAGCCCAAAGCACGGATGCAACATCCACCCCCAAACCTACTCGTCGGGGCCATGAAAATTCATCATGAGCCCTACAACTACAAACGCCAGTAGCGAATAACGAAAGAGCCATCATACATCGTATGTTGTAACAACACATGGCACGCCCCCCCCCCCCGAAATGCACGACGCTGCCCAATCAAAGTGTCGCAAGTAATGAGCATGCATTCATTGCGTGGTTCGCGTGCTGCTTGGTCTTTTACGCGGGGGGGTAGGGCAGAGGGGAATGTTGAGCGCGGGTTTGGGCCGAGGTTCTAGTAAACCCAGTGTTCGTCAAACCTTAGGGGTGAGTTTACATGAATTATGTTAGGTAGGGTAAATGTATATTAGTCGGGGGATGGGCAGATGGCACCCTTAGAACACAAACGATGTGTCGTTTCAGCTGTTCTTGGTTGACAGCTGAACGGGGGTTTCGCGGGCGGACGGCGACGGGGGGGTGAATCAAACAGGGACCGTTAACCGCCTATAGGGGGTCGGGTGACGCGCGCCTCACGAACTAGAAGATAGATGTCTCACAATCACAGTGGCCCCAAAGGGTCGGCGGATCGATCGTCAGACAGCTTGCTGGGTGAACATTCACAAACACAGTTGGGCTCTCTGCGGTTCGCGTAGTTGCTTACTCCAGTGGGATTGTCTTGCTTTGCGTTGCATCAAGCTTCTGGGGGGCCTTGCATTGCGTTCGCATTGCTTCATGCTGTCCCGTGCCACTTTCCATTGCATTGCATAGTTAGCCTTCGCGTTGACTTGCATTGCAAGGCGCAGTGAGGTTTGCATTGCATTGCATCGCATCGCATCCCCATGTGCGAAGCATTGTGCAGCCATTTTGGCCCAGTGAAATTTCACTCCCCCGCATGGCGGGGATCGACCATGACAGTCCGCCTCCGAGTCCCGCCAATGATCTAGAAATACATGGGGATGAGGAGGCGCCAGACGCTCCAGTGCGGCGCGGTCGCAAGAGGGGCAGGAAGATCAACGTGATCGACAATTTTGGCGGCGTGTGTGTATGGATTATATGCAGTGCGAGTTCGTGCCAAAGATTTTCAATTTCAGAGGAACCTCAAGTGTTTGATGAGCGCGTCGTCTACAGCATCGGATTCGGACACTGGGAAATTCATAAACAAGATGCCATTCCGAACCGCAACCAAGCCCAATTCTTGTTGACACGCACCTTTGGAGATAGTATCGACTCAATATTGGGTGCCGTGGTATATCATCTAACTCAAGTGTCAGAACTGAGATTTCCAGAACATCTTGCAATCGGACACGTCGATGTGTGGGGAGCCATCAAACACGCTCGGTGCGAAGACATGGCTGGTATGCATGACAGACAACACGACATCACATGTAAGGAGATGGTTCGTCTATGGGCAGGCGAAGTTGGTAAAGCTGCGAGTGAAGCGCCTATCTATTCAGTTATGACGTCAGAAGAATATGCTAGGCAGATCAATGACACATGGACGGTGCTGAAAGTTGTTCCATTCAAGCCGAACATAAGGTGGTCAAAGCATATTCTGTCATCGGGCCCATCTGCAAAGACAGCAAAAGATTTCAGGAGTTGTTTCGATGCCGATAAGCCAGAGTGTGTGGTTGCCAACGCTTCTCAGTTCTGTGTACCAGCAAGGCCGAAAGGCTCTACCATGTTCGCTGGGCTCCCAGCGATTGCCATCATTGCATTCCTGGACGCAACGCAGCACCTCAAGAGCATGCATGTCGTGAAGCAGGCCAAGTTTGCATGGGCGAAGGTATTGGCTCAGTATGACCATGATGAAGCGCAGCGCATGGTGAGCAAATCTCATGATATTTCTCGGACTGTACTTCGGCTTGCACGGATTCGGCTGGATATTGTGCACATGGCATTGTTCAGATTGTATCTTGCCAAAGAGCTGGAAAGCTCCAGCATATACTTGCTCACGGATGGCAGCCCGCAGTGGCGAGGCGTGGAGATGATGGCTAGCACTATGGACCTCATCACGTGTGACAGCCAGAGGTGGACATGCCTGAGGATGCTACTCCCTGTAGCCCGCATCGGGAACCGCCAGCTCGACCTGATCGGCAAGACGTACGCGATTCTTTGGAAGATCACGCTGGTCGTCGGGCCAAGCTACACTTCGCTTCGGAGTTTTCTGGCCAAGGTTGTGTCTATCACGTCGGACTTCGGGACAGAAAGGCTATTGTGCACAACGCCAGATGTTCTGATAGATTTCTGCGGTCTTGTCGGTATACGTGTTCCGCCACGGGTTCGACGTCATAGGCAATTGTTCCCTGTCGCACTCGTGGCTCCTGGGTGGATGCACATCATTGATACAGTTATCAAGCGTTCGCTATGCAGTTTACCTTGGTTCCCGACGTGGTTAGGTGGCTTGAAGGCGTGTTTGCAGTTCTTGCGGTACTATTCGGATGATGTGGTGAAGGCTATTCGGCAAACGCATCCCTCGGTAGCTCAGCTGGTTGCCAAGATATCGATACCATACTTTGCAGAGTGGCGATGGGGCACGTTGCACAAGGCATGCAAGGCGATGTCAATGCTGCTCGACATATGCCGTCGGCTGTGGTCTTCATTTGATTTCGTTGCGAAGACCAGGGATACGGCATTGCTGAAGAAGGTGGGAGCATCCCTTCTCAGCCATCGTTGGGCAGTACATTTCAAGTTCGTAGAGTGGCACGCCGACTGGCTTTCATCTTTGCAGTCGTGGGGAGGCTCATGCGCGTGCCACCAGCAGGAGTACAGGAATGGACGGACAGTTTCTTGCATGATGAAGGGCCGTTTGATAACATATGCATGGGACCACGCGAGTACAGTATTCAATGACGCCGTCACGGAGATCTGCAGCTGGTCATTGCATGATTTCGGCGAGGATGCCTCTTTGCAGTCGTCCTGCATCGGTGCTGTGCAGTACTGCAGATCATTGGGCATGAGGAAGCTGCAGTTCTTGGATCACATCCCGTACCTGCTTTCGAGGTTGGGCGAGCCTGGGATAGTTGGCAGAGTCTTAGCGCAATACCGAGAAGTCCCCAAAGATCAGCACCACACAGTGACCTTGAGGTTTTTGGGCGACGACTCGCCCTTCAAGAGCTCGATTGTGCAACTGCCTGAGGCCGGCGGGGAACTACCTGACGGGCTCCGTCAAGCGGCGCAGCAGCTCGTCGACATCCCGTTCGACGACCACATCGCCGAGGGGCCACATGCAAAGGCGAAGCGTGTCTTGGGGAATTCACGATGCACCAAGTTCCCGTTCGTGGCGTCATCACTTCGGCTGGCTCGCAACCTCAGCACGGTGCAGGAGTTGGTCACCGCAACAGGGGCAAGCATCCAGCATGTATGGAATGCGTGGTCTTCGGTGGTGAACGTGAAGAGGCCGACGAAGCCGATCAATATGAAACGAGAACAAGTGCATAAGCGAGTCTACGGGCTCAACTCCCACAGGCTTCTGGGTCATCATCGACCTGGCGACGATCCGCATGACGCCGACGATGCATTCGACGAGCCTGATGACCCTCGCGGCGGAGACCCTGGAGATGCGGCTATTGCGGCGCACAGTGGGGCCCATGCAGAGGGCAATCAGTTCCGAGGGTTGACAGAGACGCAGAAGCTAATGGCGGAGTTCCTCGGAGGCGTGCTGCAGCAGTACGATTATTTCTCAGTCCCCAGTGGGCCAGGCGAGGATGTACCTCTCCACGTGTATCAGGTCATTGCGAAGCAGACGAAAGACATCCTCGTGGAGACAACTGGCACGGCCCCTACAGATACCACGACTTGGTTGCTCCATCCAATGGGCATCTTCGTCGACCCGACTTCCAAGACCGACGACGACGGGCGCGTAGACGTGTTCGCGGTGGCAACGGTCTCAGTGTACTCCACCATCTTTGCGGTTTTCGGCGACGACGTGAACAATCGCAGCCAGATCTGCAGGTGGCAGGCGCGCGCCCCGCGGGTCGACGGCTGCATCGGCTTATGCGACAAGAAGGTTGCATTGTGGAGGACTCACGGGGAGGGGGAATGAGGAGGAGGTGGAAGAGGAGGGAAGGAGAAGTTGGAGGAGCAGGAAGGCTTGGAGGCGGAGGAGGGGGGAGACGATGAGGGGGGAATACCCTCCCATGCCATCGCAAGGGCCCCCCTGTCCGACCCGAAGATACCCGTGCTGTGCTTGATGGACGCCCTCGTGGCCGAGGGATTCAGGTCCAGCGATGCTCTGTGCTTCCATGCCAAGGGCTCGGTCGCGAAGTTCGACGGCCGCAGGTTGAGCTCCAAGAGGTTTTACTTCCAGTGCCTCCTGGCCCGCCGATCCATCTTTCTGCGCGGTCAGAAGCGCTTCAGGAGCGACCAGCCGCAGGTGCACTACAAGTGGCTGCTGCGGGCTGGGGGGCCCATCCCAGAGCAGGCCACTGCGCGAGAGTGCAACGAGAAGCTGGTGGAGTTCGAGGCAGCTGGCGATGACTACATTGTCGACGCAACGCTGATGGCGGTGCCGTCAGAGCCTGTCCCAGGAGGCGCGCCCGCGGCCATCGTCAACATCGACGGCGACGATGGCGATGAGGAGCCGCCTGCAGATCCGCCACCGCCGATCGCTGCTGCAGCTCCTCCTGAGGTTCACGGAGATGGGGAAGACGGAGGCTACGTGGTGCCCGACTTCATCCTCGGGCAGCCCATCTCGCTGGAGGTCCACTGGCGCGGTGGCCGCGGCATTCGGGTGCAGTGCCCGACCCACCACGGCTGCAACAAGTACAGGTCGTTGGCCATCGACGCGGCGGTGTTCGGGCCAGCGGCGGCCAAGCACTACCTGTCGACGTGGCTGGCTGCCGCGCCGACGATGGGGGCCGCCGAGCACCGCGCGTGGAAGCCCACCGGGGCCCAGATCCGCACGCACTTGGCGGATTCATGGGTATCAAGATCACATCGTCATCCACATCATCCTCACCTTAACATTGAAATCGCAAGGGTCAATGCCACCACAAGCACCATCACCACCATCACCATTAGCATCATACCCATCGCCACCAAAACTACACAAACCAAAGAAACAGGGAAACCAGCGTTTCGCCCGAGGACCGCCCTGGCTTTGGTACCCCCCCCGCCCGAACCGATTCATAACCTCTGGGGGCAACCGCCCAATAGACGGGGGAGGGATCTGCCAGCGATTCCTGCAAGGTGTATGGGGGGCAATGTATTGATTGCGATCGGGTGTACTCTGAATTCGCATTGTGCTACGGCGCAAACTCGCTGGCACGTCACCACCCCCTGTAAATCTACGCGGGGTGGTGACAGGCCAGTACTACTTAAATATATCACCATAAGCGTTGGGGTGCACTTACACAGCGTACGATAACACATGAACGCCATGCACGCACGACTGGACTTGCACAACACGAGGTCGCATGCCACGCCAAACCGAATGCCCAGTGCATTGTGGGCCCCAAGGGGGGGGGGGGGGGGAGTAGGAGGAAGAGGAAGACTCAACGGGGGGAGGCGACGGCGAGAGGATGAGGATGAGGGGGGGGGGGGGGAGGGGGGGGGGAGGGGGGGGGGGGGAGGAGGGAGAATAAGAGGAGGAGGACACATACGGCTAGGATGGCGAAAGAAACTAGAGAAGGACGGGGAGGCGGAATGGGGGGGAGGGGGGGCGGATGGGAGTGAGGAAGGGAGGGGGAAGAGAGGAAAGAGATGAATAGGAGGAAGAGGGGGAGGAGGAGGAGACGGAATGATGAAAAGAAACTTGTTATACCAAGGATGGGGGGAGGAGGGGGAGGAGGAGGATGGGGGGAGGAGGCAGAGGAGGAAAGGGAGGAACAGCAGGCGGATGATGGGGAATGGGGGCGAGGAGGAGCAGGAAGCGGAGAAACATGCGTAGGATGAGGGGTGGCGGGGGGGGAGGGGGGGGGGGGGGGAGGGGGGGCGAGGGGGAAGGGGGGGGGGGGGGGGGCATGCCGCGGAACAGGGGGAGGAGGAGGAGAATTAAGATGGGGAGGGGGGTGAGGAGGACGCGCAGGAGCAGGTGCAAGAGAGGGAGGGTGTTTCTGGCGCGGAAGAACAGGGGGAGGAGGAGGCGAAGTAGGAGGGCGTGGAGGGCGGGGGGGACGAAGCGGAACAGGAGGAGGAGGAGGACTAGGGGGAGGAGGGAGGAGGACGCTCGTCATCTGTACACAGAAACCCCCGATCAACCGCAGAGAGGTTTGCTTTCCGCTGTGTTCAATCATTGTCGTAGCCGCTCCTGGGCTTGGCACATGCACGACCGCCTTGGACTGGTTTGTGGGATTCAGCGGGGTGGCTGGGTCACTCCAGAACAACCCCTGCCCGCGCGTAAACCTGCCATTGCACCTATCACTGTTAATTCCAGAACCACGCTTGCACCACCCTTGCCGCTCCTGCGCCAGTTGTGAAGCAAGGTCGTCGGTCCCTTGGGCCGCCCTGAACTGCGATCGTGCGTGGTCCACCCGTGGCGTCTGACGCAACCGCCAACTGACCCCAAACCACTATTGAGTACCGCTTGACCCACTGTAGAACAACGCGGGGCCGTTCCTGGACCAGGGCTGAACAGCCTTTCGAATGCGCATGTTGGCTCGCGGGCGAACAGATCTATGCGCTCGCCCGCGGCTGACCGTGACGCAGAAGCTCTTGGGCGATGCCGTAACCAATGTTGAATCACGCGCCAACCGCGCCTATACTAATCCTGCACCACGTCGGGGCTACGTTCGTATCGGTCCTGAACCACCCCAGGCTGTCCCTGAACCGCGCTTGAATCACTAGCGATGCACCCCTGGAGCGCTCCCATGCGTTCCTGGGCACTGCCCGACGCACAGCCGCGTTTGAACACCCCAGCGCCTTTCCTGAACCGCAATAAGCCACACCAGAAGCACTCTTGGATCATCACCGAACCACGTCTGCGCCACTCAGCAACGAACTACTAACCACTGTTGCACCGCTCCGCGAACCACGGTTACGCCAATATCGCGTGCGCCACTGACTGGCCGATGCGCAGCCGCTCCTGGGATAGCCCTTTGGCCACTTCGGAATAACGCCTGCACTAACCCTGAACAGTTCATGGGCTTGCATTGAACCGCTTCTGAGACACGCGTGAACCATCTCTCGAACACGCTTGGCTCCCTCGGTTACAATCTCTGTGCCACGTTTGCATCGGCACCCCTCCCTACACAATCCTGGGAATGCGCCGACTGGCCGCCACTTCTGGACTAGCCCTGGGCCATTCCAAAACCACCCCTGCACAACAACTGGGCTACTCTTGAACCGCGACCGAACCATCCCCGAACATCTCATGGACCGCGCTTGCACCACACCTGAAATCAGTGGTGCGCCGCGCGTGAACCACTCCGTTCGGCGCCCCTGGGGTTTGCCTAAGCGCAGACCACCCCTGCGCCAGTTAGGAGCCACACCTGAACCATTCCTGCACCACTCCTGAGCCATGGCTGGACTTCCCCTGGGACATTCCTGAACCGCCCTTGAACCACTTTTGAACCACGTCTAACCCACGTTCGAACCATCCCTGGCCAACGTCCAGACGACTCCCCAAACGCCCCTACGAACAAAACGAACGACAACCACGCCTTAACCACCCCTGGGCCATTCCGAAATCGCTTTTGAACCACACCTGGGCTAACCCCGAGCAACGGTTGAACCACTCGTGGGCCACTTTTTGAACCACGGGTGGACCACGACCAGACTTCCCTTGGACAGCTCCTGACCCACCTTTGGGGCATTCCCGTTGGCGGTATGCGGCGTCTCATGATGGCCGCCACTCCTTACGCGGCCCTGCAGCACTGATGCGCACTGTGCCGCTTCTGAGCCCCATCTGAGCTACTGGCGAGAATCACTCCTGAACCATTCCTGAGCCACTCCTGCAACACTTCTGGGCCACTCTTGAAACGCACTGGAACCACTTTTGAACCACCCGTCATGCGCACCCCCCCAGCATTATCCACATAGCAATTACTCCCAAACCAGCCCTGAACCATTTCTGAACCACTCCTGAACCATTCTTGAACCACTTTTGAACCACTCCTGAACCACTTTTGAACCACCCTTGCACCACTTTTGAACCACTCTTGAACCACTTTTGAACCACGTTTGAACCACCTTTGAACCACGCCGCCTAGCTCATTGGACCTGATCGGATGGTCGCCCCTTCTGAACCAATTCTGGACCATTCCTGAACCATTCCCGAACCATTCTTGAACAACTTTTGAACCACTCCTGAACCATTCCTGAACCACTTTTGAACCACTCCTGAACCACTTTTGAACCACCCTTGAACCACGCATGTGCAGCTGTTGAACCACTCCACCGCCCCTCATAGTGTCGATAACACGGCGACCACTTCTGAACCAGTCCCGCAACACCCGAACCATTCCCGAACCATTCCTGAACCACTTTTGAACCACTCCTGCACCATTCCTGAACCACTTTTGAACCACTGTTGAACCACTTTTGAACCACTGTTGAACCACTCTTGGACCACTTTTGGACCACTCCCCCACGACTCATGAGACCTATTCGAAGGACAGCCACTCCTGAGCCATTCATGCACCATTTCTGAACCACTCCTGAACCATTCCTGAACCACTTTTGAACCAGTCCTGAACCACTTTTGAACCACTTTTGAACCACTCCTGAACCACTTTTGAACCACTATTGAACCACTCTTGAACCACCTTTGAACCACACCGCCTAGCCCCTTGGACCTGATCGGATGGCTGCCCATTCTGAAAAAAATCTGGGCCATGCCCAAACCATTCCCGAACCATTCTTGAACCACTTTTGAACCACTCCTGAACCATTCCTGAACCACTTTTGAACCACTCCTGAACCACTTTTGAACCACTCGTGAACCACTCTTGGACCATTAATGGTCGCTCTCGTGCGCGCTCGTGGGGTTTGACCGGATGCCGCTCACTCCTGAGCAGTTCCCAAACCGCGCCCAAGCCACCCGCCAACGACCCCTGAACCATTTTTGAAACACTCCTGGGCCATTCTTGAACCACTTTTGAACCACTCCTGAACCACTTTTGAACCACTTTTGAACCACTCTTGAACCACTCTGGAAACACACGCCTACGGCCCATGAGATGTATTCGAATGGCAAACACTCCTGAGCCATTCCTGAACCATTTCTGAACCACTCCTGAACCATTCTTGAACCACTTTTGAACCACTCCTGAACCACTTTTGAACCACCCTTGCACCACTTTTGAACCACTCTTGAACTACGTTTGAGCCACTTTTGAACCACCGTTGAACCACGCCGCCTAGCTCCTTGGACCTGATCGGATGGTCGCCCCTTCTGAACCAATTCTGGACCATTCCTGAACCATTCCCGAACCATTCTTGAACCACGTTTGAACCACTCCTGAACCATTCCTGAACCACTTTTGAACCACTCCTGAACCACTTTTGAACCACTCATGAGCCGCGTTTGAACCAACTTTGAATCACCCATGCGCCCTGGCGCAAGCTGTGAGATCACCCGCATGCGTCCATGTGACTAGCCGATTGTGGGGCCACATATGAACCACTCTTAGATCGCGCCAGCGCGTCATTGAAGCAGTCTGGCCGCTCCTGCACCACTCTTAAACCACTATTGGAACACCTGCGGGCCACGTTTGAACTGCCCTTCGATTGCGCTGGAACCAGCATAGGCCCGCGCTTGCACCATGCCCGCGGCCACCCTGAATGCTGACCGAACAACAACTTGCCAACGCGCCCGTCTGCGGCGCGCCTCCGTACAGTGCCGAGGGGCTTGTCCTGCGAAGTTGCACCTGGGTTGCGGGCTTGGCGTGCGAAGTTGTATTTTCCTCTGGAAAAACACATGTCAAGCGACACCC